TAGACTGAAAGACCTTGTAAGTCCTCTTCAGAGCTACTGTTACTGTAATTACGGGGTGTGGTGTTGTAGGTGTTTTATTTGCTTTCAGTGTCCGCTAGATGTCCTCGTTCAGTTGTCTCATTATTTATACTGTGGTAGCAGCCACAGGCCCCAGTCAGGGTCCCCTTGTGCTAAGCACTGCATAGACGCAGATGACATGATCTCTGTCCCAAAGAGTTTACAATTGCATCTGTACTTTCACTGGGACTTCTTTCCTGTCCTCTCTTATCCATTCCCAGCTCCAGAAGCCACCTGACGCTCTTCTGCATGAGGGATTCCTGATGCAGTATAATGGGGACACCTGCAAGTGGAAGAAGAGTTATTTCATTTTGCTGGGAAACTGTACCCTGGAGTGGTTTGATAGTAAAGAGGTAAATGTGCTGCTTCAGCTGCTTTTATCCCCACTTTATGGGCTGTAAAATGTATATGGATCTTACATACTGTTACCCCATTTAGATGTGTTTCCTGCAGACACATGTACACCCAGACATCTGAACATGGGTTCTCCTTCTCAAGGAACAGTTTGTCCCACTGTTCTGGAAAGTTATGTTCTGCCCCTCCCCCCCCCCATCACCCCCCCCCCCCACTAAAATTCCTCCTTCTGGCTTATAGGGTTACATTCTCCTCCTTCATTTCCTTTCCAAAATGAATGCGTGGTGTTTATTAAACAGCTACTGAATTCCACCTCCAGAGGTGGCTGTATGCTTTCAATGTGTGAAGTTTAGAGAGAGAGATTTGCTGTCAGTCACTCAGACCCTAAATACTAGCAGCAAGGTGTGTGAGAGGAGTTTTGCCCTTGAGCCCTCATTAAGATAGTTCTGTCTGGATTTCTTTTCCAGGCCCAGGGGAAAGGATATAAGCCCAGAGGATCCACCACCCTGTCCGGATACTTGCTGGTGACCTCACTGAGCGAATACAACAGGCTGATTGACAGTCTCTGCCAAGGATTAGTAGGTAAGTCTGTGATGTGCCCTGTTTGAGAAATGTGCCGCGACCCAGAAGGGAACAGAGTCTTAGAATCATAGAATATCAGGGTTGGAAGGGACCTCAGGAGGTCATCTAGTCCAACCCCCTGCTCAAAGCAGGACCAATCCCCAGACAGATTTTTGCCCCAGATCCCTAAATGGCCCCCTCAAGGACTGAACTCACAACCCTGGGTTTAGCAGGCCAATTGCCCAAACCACTGAGCTATCCCTCCCCCATTACTGGTCCCTCACAGCATTATACAGAACAGCAACTTCAAGAACTCTTCAGCAACACTAGTTCTAAATAGAAAGGGCTCCATTTCTGAATTCTGGACTTTCTCTTTTTCGTTGTAAGCATGGCAAAGTCTAACATATAGAAAGAAGAATATTGATTATACATACGCAGAAACCCCATTGCTCATGGGGCTGCTGTACTGTTCAAAGCTAGAGACCACAAAATAAACTAAACATACTGATGTCTCTCAAACACAAGGTTTTCAGGACCTCGTGCTGTTTAAACCTGTTTCCTTTTTGCCATGCTGTTCTATCCCTCCTTTTTCTCTCTTTGAAGGAGTACATTTAGTACTGTTGGTGGGTTACAGGGCTTTATTCAGCCAGATGAAGAACCCAGGTTTCATAGTGAAGTGACATGAAATTAGAAGCAGATGCAGAAGGATGTTGCCAATCCCTGGACTCGTTTGAGACAGCTGCTCTGTTCCATTTCTCAGTGCTACTTGCCAGCTCTGAAAAGAAAATGGCAATGTACCCTAGTTCCAACTATTTGTAACAATATGTAAAATGAAGAACAGGAGTACTTGTGGCACCTTAGAGACTAACAAATTTATTAGAGCATAAGCTTTCGCGGACTACAGCCCACTT